AAATAAATTTGTTTTGTGACAAAATCTCCAGTCCAACCTCACTTTTAAATGTACAGAAGTTATAAAAAAGAATGATTTTGTGGAAAGACAAGTAATTCATAATAAGCTTTATGCTATTATAGTGTTAAATTGACTTTAGATAAGTAAAGGATGATACATGCATTTTCAGGATCATTTTTCCACTTTGTTAAAAAGGAAAGTATTTGTCATGCCATCCCAGTCTAAGAATTTTCAAGATTTTTTTTATGTCTTTACCTATGGGAAACCAGGGTTGTTATATCTATGTAAAACTCTGTATATAAGTAATAAGTGGCAGAAAACTATTAGTATACCTGAAATGATTTAATGAAGCCCGAATCATGACACATCAGGAACTGTTCTTGTCATTTGGTTAGCTCCATCTGCAATTTTAATAATTCATCCAGTTCAGTGAAAGTTCAGTTTGCAACTCATTTAGAAGTCTTCTTCATGCTCCAGAGAGGAATGGGGTTTGTATGGTTAAAGACAAGGCTCTGGAACCATTTTGGAACTGAATTGGTAGTTTAAAAACAACAACAACAACAACAACAACAACAACAAAACTCCAGGGATGACAAATAGAGTCAGAACTTGTACAGTTCAGGGAGGTTGCTTCAGCATGGTGTTCCCTTTTTTTCTGTCTTATTCAATCCATGTCAGGTCTTCAGCTTAGGTTAAATGAATTTTAAACTAAGATTTGCTTAAGTGGATTTGTTGCCTCTAAAATTAACTGTGTACTCTTTTAAACTCTACAATCACCACCAATAGAAAATCCACATTCATCTTAGATATTTCCAAATGAGTAGATAAGCTTGCCATTCATTCATGGGCTTTGGTTAAAAAAAAAGCTTCCTGAACTTTCAGGAGTTGCACCCTGAAATGTTACACAAACATTTCACAAAAAAGGTTTTGTCTCATGAATTGTGAACAAACAGTTCAATAATTCCTGTTTTAAGAAGGTAAATATTAACTCTCCTCAGTGCCCTTATTGTATCTGGATATTTATTGCTCTGAGGCAATAAAATGCTAGACAGTAAACTTTGATTTGCTGATACAAATATGGGTAAAGTCTTCTGTTTTGTGAACATAATTCACATTTCAAGATGCTTTATGTGATATACAGGATGTTTCATGGGTATTTTAAATTCAAGAAGTTTGGATAAAATGAGAACTATCATACACTGAACATTCCAGAGTTTTCCTCTAATAAGAAAGAGAAAGGCTTACATATATATTGGCCTTATGGCCATATAAAGAATAACGTGTTATTATTATCTTGAGTTATTAAAATAAGATACCATTGTCAGTATGGACTAATGAACATTAGACCAGCCAAATGCATTTTTCAACTCTATAGAATTGTGAATTTACGTCTGCGATATAAAATTCAAGCAATCTGTTTTATAAAATGACACACAAGTAAGGGAAGAAAGGAGGTGAAGATAGCTGAGTAATAAATGTTTTCTGTTTTATTTTTTTACTCTCAATATTGGGTGAGAACAGGATGAATGAAAATTCTCTTGGAAATAAATATTTCCAGTTCTCATGTTTTCAAATGCCTACATTTGAAGTTTGGTTTTAAAAAATGGCTGAACTACGACAGTATGAATTCACCCCATGGGGAATGGAGTAGTTTTTGGAATAAATGTGATTTTTCTCCTAAAGGCCTCCAATTTACATTCCCATCTTTAAAAATTACCCCAAATTATTTTTTAAAAGCCCAAAGTCATTGGAAAGCCTACTGCAACTCACAGGAATGTGTCCTGAAAGGTGCCCACTCCTGTTTAAGTAGATCATCATTTCAGGCTGTTTTTAGCTTCTCATACTTCCCAATGATATAGCAATCTGCCTGAAGTTCTTTAGCTTAAAAATGTAACCTAGGGCTTAAGTTACTCAAAGAAGGTTTATTTGCTTTCTTGCTTATTCGCTTGTTTTCCTTCTCTGTGATTGTAAGTAAATTATGGGTTAAAATCATAGGCCTATATGAGGGTGTGTGCGCAAAACAAATGTATACATCAAACACACACACACACACACACACACACACATCGTGGATTTCATACTTGTGTTCAGGAACAGAATAAAGTATGGAAGACTGGGATTTGCCTTCTGTTGCTGCTGTTATTGTCATGGTTAATAACAGGAGTCTAAGGCAGTTATCTTTCAGGAGACTTTGCCACTCTTCATCATGATGCTATTCTTTCATTGTGATAATTTAGGAAAGGTTATATAAATGCCTTGCTGATATTTGAAAGGTTTCAAAGTGTTGCTTTTCAGATCGTGAACTTGGGTTTATTGCTTTATATTATATTCACTAAGATACAGAGAAGAATCTTCCTGTGCATTGTTGTTATAGGCACATCATCTTGGATTTATAGTATTTTTTAAGATACTTTCATTTCCACTCCACCCCCTCCTTCTATCATTTGCAGAAGATTTATCATCCTTTCTTCCATCCATTTTTTTTTCTTCTTTCAACAGAAGCTTCCAAATGTATTGCTCAAGTTTCATTTGTTTGTTTATTGTACCCAAATTTTCCAACTAGGCTGATTTGTTTAGGCTGATTCCATCAATTGATAGTTTATTGACATAGATAACATGAAGTAGATTATAACGCCACATACCAGGAATCCCTTCCAGGTATTTTGGACTTAAATCATTAAATTTGTAAGATGCTCAGAGTTGCCTCTAGAGAAATTGGGTGGCACATAAATAATTATACTGGCATAAGACAGATGACAACTGAAACAGCTGGGTGATACTAACTTACATCTGCCACATATCATAGCCACGGGTAATGTCTGTAGCTTGAAAATAAAAATGTTGAAGATAGCTAATGTGGTTAGTAGTTAATGGTCCTAAATGAGAACAAAGAAGACCAAATTGAACTTCATTCCTGACAAACCCACATAGGGTTGGTGTTGGGAATTGTGCATCTTTTTTGGGGGGAGGAGAGAGATAAATTATAACTGCTTTTCACAATTAATACCTATGGATACCTGGATCATGTTATGCAGCTTAGGTCAGGCTTTAAATTCAATAAATAAATAAATACAACATTTTGACATATAGATCAAATTATATCAGTGGTAACATTTGGTTAATGGTCCTAGGCAATCTAAGAAGCAAATTAGAAATAAATTAGAAACATGGAAACAAGAGATGAAATTGCTTCATTTATACCCACTTAGTAATGCTGGCACTATTAAAACTCACAATATTCTCTGATTGGCCCCACAATATTCTCTGATTGGCCTTTACAACAAACAAACAAAAACCCTACTACCCTGACCTAAATCATGTATACTTTAATCCATGAAAACAAGGGACAACCTCATACAATGTGATTAATATAAATACTTGCATCAACCGCAGCTTTAAATTTCATTGTTGCCAAAATGTCGGCTGATCATTTCTACTAGCTTTTTTTTTTTTTTTTTTGTATCAACCAAGGGTTCAGTTCCCAAGAGGCAGCCAAGACCCGAAGACCTAAATATTGGCCCCTTGGTTGTAATTTCTCTCCCCATTAGAGCCAGTAACTTAACACAGGCAATATGAATATCAATACACATAAAATATGAGCAATTCTAATCAGTGTAAATTATAAAACCATTTTGCAAGGTAGAAAGAAGACCAGTTACACCATGAAAACACCACAATTCCCATTGCAAGACAATGGGAATGGGATGATAAGAGTTTGATTAAGTAGCCTAGGAATAATATATTTACCTTTTCCAAGCCTGACAATAATAGTTTTATGTGGAAAAAGATAGAATGACTAGATCTCAGTCCTCCTATTTCAGGAAATAGACCTGTGTCAAATAGACATTAAAGTAGAAAAATAGAAGATATATTATTTGGAATTTGGAATCTATTATTCTTTGGTGGATACATTTTAATTTCATGAAGAGTGCATATTCATTAATAATCCGGCATTGAAAAAGTTAATGAAATAATTTCTAAGAAATTTATAGAATGCAAAGGACCCCATCATTTGTTCTGTAGGTTGTTCAGGGAAGCAGAAGGGAGTCATGGGTTATTATTTATTCCTGTAAAAGTGGGGGAGGGGCTAAAATTAACTTTGTGATTATCTATCCATTAGATGAATTATTTGTAACTGAAGTTATTTGATGATGAACTATGACACCCAACATCAGGCTAAAATTATTGCCTTATTATCTTTCTATTCTATACTTCGTATTTTTTTTTTTGTTATTTAGTATTTTAAAGATTTTATTGGCCAATTTTATATGGGATTCAGAAATAATTTTATAATTTTCACTGTAGGAACAAATTAAATAGGTGGCTCAGGAGAGAAAAAGCAACTATACATAATTGGAAGAGGATTTGTTTATTTCAATTTACCTATAATATTTTTAATTTATATTTTATTTTTATATAATTTGTTGTGGATATATCAGAATTGTGTTTAATTATTACTTTTGTATTACCAACACATACAAAAAAAGGCAGAAAACAAATTGTTAGGAAAAGTAAAAAATACTGTTGCAGTTAATTTTGGATAAAAGATTTTCTCATCTGCAAGAGATTTTTTTTTTCTTATTCATATAGCCTTAAGTACCTTAAGTGATAAAAAAGGGTAGAGTTGTAGAAGCATATTTAAATACGCTGGTTTGTTTTTATTTTATTTTTTTATTACTATCATTGCATAATGTAACATTTTAAACTAGGCATTGTATATATTATAATAAATATACTAAACTAAAACTTTAAACAAGGATTCAACCGATTTGATTTACATTGGAAAGAATACAAGAGGTTATCTGAAAAGCATATTTGCTGGATTTTTTTTTTTTTACCATTGATCTAATCTTTTGTTGAAGCTATTTTTCTGAGACTACTCAGTCACACAATAGTTTGGGGAATGATAGCTTTTCCTCTTTTTTGTTTAGTCTGGAGTATCGTCATTAATCAATCTGTTTCTTGAAGTAGTTTAATTTCATTTGTATCTGTTTTGACAGCTGAATCTTATCTTCCTGGTGATCACACTGTGCAAAATGGTGAAGCACTCAAACACTTTGAAACCAGACTCTAGCAGGTTGGAAAACATTAAGTAAGTGCTATGTGTTCAGATCCAAAACTGTGATTATTTGTCTGATTGTTTCAGCTGATTGAAAGCTCCCCTCCATTAGGAACACATGGCTTTCTCTCCCAGGAACCACAAATGTCAGTTAGAAATGAACAACACCAGCTCTGCTTTCAACACATTTGTTGCTCTAATGTTACAGACAAGGTTGAAATTAAATAACTTCTCCTTGGCATGGTGGTCAAAGGCGTTGGTTTGGTTGCCTGACTGAAATTCCAGAACAGCACAGTCATTTCATCTGCATTTAAAATGCCCCTCGAAATTGCATTCCTCTCTGCACGGCTGATGTTGTTCTGCTGGGTTTGTTTTGTTAAATTATTCTCAGCAGTTAGGGGGTTCTCAGCAGTCTCCCCCGTCATAATTCTGATCTCCTAAGAGCGTTTATCCCTATCACTCTGCCTATCTTGATGGTTATCTGTTCCTTTTCATGCTAATTTAATAAACGATTATTTTTATCTTAATGCTGTCTTTTCAAGAAATTGAAAGAATGTTTAATGTAACAAAACTGACAGTGGTGGATCACTCTTTAGGGCTGAGCTAGGCAACATAAATCTGCACTTTCAGCTTCAATCCATGGTGTTTCTATGGTTAGAAGAATAGCAGTTGATTTGAAGTTTTCTAGTTAAAATCACTTCAGTCTTGTGTTGCCTATTCCAGCTTTTTTTCTGTTTAAGTCATTGGGTTATTTCAGGCTAGGTTATTGTATTAGACTGATGCTGGAGGGCTGAATAAATTTTATCATAAGAAGCAAGCCTCTAATAAGTTCCAAGCAATTGTGCTGCAGACTGGGTTTTTAAATTGTCTTTGAAAATAGAATGTGACAAGGATAAATTTGCAAGATACCTAACATTGCAAACTAGATATTGCTTAGATAGGTCACAATATCAACTTCATTGCATGTTGCATGTTAAGAGAGAGAGAGAGCTAATCTTTAGCATCTCTCTCTTTTCTTCCTTTTCTTCCTCTTTTTGTCTTCTCATCTACACCAGTAATTACCGTGTTTGTGATGGCTACTATAATACGGACTTACCTGGGTAAGATAGAACCCTATATTAACAAATTTAAAGCATGACTTTAGAAAAAAGAAAAAGAAAAAAAGATTGAAAAAAACCTTGAAAATTTGGACAATTTCCTGGATTGTCCCTAATTTTAATGAATCTAAATATCTAATTTGCTAAACTATTTTCAATTCTTAAATGCCTTTATTATTTTAAATTGCTTGCATCTGCACTTTGAATTCTCTCCTTTTAACTAATTTTTGTATGAACTTTACTAAAATGCTTTTTTATTCATTTCAAATTAAATTTCTGTCTAATAATTTTGTTTCTCTTTTCTGCTTATAATGCTTTCTAGCTATGAAGATAATAAGCCATTTATCAAGTAAGATCATTAGTTAGATGTGGAATGCAATGAATAAATCCCCTTTTCCTTTTCATTCTGTGCTGTCCTCTGCGATTTATTTCTTTATTTCTTTCCTTTTTTCTTTCCCTGAAACTATTCATTATGAAATCCTTTAAAGATTTTATATTGAGGCTAAATCCACATACTTAACCACATTCAGTAAGATAATTTCCTATGAAAGTTAGAAGATATAGTCTTAGTTTAGCAGAGTTTTTGAGCTTCTGGTTATAGGCTACTGAACTGCCATATACCCTTTTGCATGTTATGTCAGATTTCAAGGACATTTATTTAGAAAAAAACCCTGGCTTCTATTAATGACTAAATATTTTAATGCACAAACACACACACACACACACACACAGAGAGATAAACAAAAAGTTACAAGATCATGGATTCTATTTTTTGCATTTCAAAATAGTACTGTGTGTTTTCAAGTCATGAATAAGAGAAAGGGCTCATCTACCACTGCTGCTTTCACTAAAGAATAGGACTGTTTCCTTCTTTAATAGTTGAAAGGCTATTTTTTAATGTTTGAATGCAAACCTAGCAACAGATGACAAGTGAAAATGTAATGCATAAGTTTGCAATGTGCTGTGATTTTTTTTTAAACTCAGTAGTCTTGCTTAATTTTATTTTATTTTTCAGGTCTTGGGCTCTAGGTGCATTTGCTCTCCTATGTCTTCTTGGTTTAACATGGTCTTTTGGACTGCTTTACATCAATGAGGAGACTATTGTGATGGCATACCTCTTCACAGTATTTAATGCTTTCCAGGGAATGTTTATTTTCATCTTTCATTGTGCACTGCAGAAGAAAGTGAGTCATTTTCATTTATATACAGTATGTTTATCTGTAGTGAATAATTAAATATATATCATAAACATGAAAAACTATAGAGCACATTTAAAGGAAAAAAAAGGGGGGGAAAAGTCTTCTTGTTGACTGTTAGTCATCGATTGTTTTATAATAGAATCAAAATATTAATGTGAATCTTGCATTGGTTTTCTCCATCTCTACTTACTGAATATTAAAAAAATATCAGCGCAAAAATTTAATTTAAATATTTTTTTCTCACAAAGATTGCATGTATAAATTTTTCACACAAAGTGCATATTTTTAATGAGCATTACATATTTAGCATATAGCTTATTTATTTTATTTTTTGGGAACCAAGAGCCACATGGCGAAACTCTAAATAAGAAATCTGAAAAAAACAAACCAGTAGAATAATATATCAGTCTAGACGTTATTCATTAGATCAGTATGTATATGAATTCATGAAAAATGTTTTTATCAAAAGTTGACTACCAGCAAGCTATTTAAGGGAACTGGTATAGTGCTGCTGTTACTTTTTCCACATATTGTATAAGCAGAATGTCTCTTTTATAATGCTCTGATAGAAAATATTGTTGAATATAATTATCTATAAAAATAACAATTGCTGGTTGTAGCATAGACTTTAAATTCTGATAAGTTGAATATATTATTTGCTTTATCAAAGTAACCTGGACACTTAATAATAATTTCCATTCTAGGAAAAGATCATTTTATATCACCAATAAAAATTAGTTGTGTCAAAAATTAAATGAGAAAAGGTTAAATTTAGAAATCTTGAAATAATACAAGACAAAAATTAATAACTCATAAGTAAGATTTTAATACATTAGAGTTATATTTGAGGATTCTTGATTCAAGAATATTATTGCATTACTTTAAAATCTTTAGATTAAAAAGAGGTAACTGAGCTAGTTATTTGTAATACACATCACATATGTATACTCTTTATGGAAAGACTAAGATACTTTCATTTCCAAGATAGAAGTAACTTTTTATATTTAAAATCAAATAAATATTTCAGAATTTGTTTTTAATTTTAGTGACATCTAATTTGTATACTGCAACTTTGATATACATTTCTATACTGCTTTTTCCTGAAACAGGCTATTATCATCTATAAGGATAAATTTGCCAGAATGAAATATTACCTTTTAAAAAAAACACTTTCAGAATAGTATATTAGGATTTTTGTTTTCAAAATCATAAATACAAAGGGGTGCTATATTTATAATGTTAATATTTTGAAACATGCAGTATCTTATTTTTATAGTAAGCAAAGCCAACAACAAAGTCATAACAAAATGCCATTCAAGTGTAGGAAAAGTAGGTAAAGTAAGTCAAGATTATTCATGCTTCCAATGTCATTCAGATTGTCATTTGAAGTTTAAAAGCTCCATTCTCAGTTACTGGATATTGTTCCACTTTTCTATATGTTGCTAATGCAGTCTTTTTATTTGGTTATTGCTAGTGGTCACTAAATTGAGCAGAGAAATAAAATTGGGAAAGTGAAAACGATTATGTTTCCAATCCTGACAAGATGATAGTTCTGTTACCTCGGTTTTCAGCAAGCTGTAATTTAGAAATGATGGCAGTGGAATGTGCAGTCCGACAGAAAATGTATATTTGCTGCAGTACAGACAATTAGGCAAAATCAGCCTCAGAGAGTGATATTGAGAAGACAATGAGAGGATCTGTTGGGTAGAATTCTATAGCTCTTAGCATCTTTTAATTGATAGTTATGCATGCCCATGGAAATATCCGTGTTATTTATCAGTACTGGGCTTTAGTTTTGTTTGAGTTGTTTTCCTGAACAACTAACTACTTTGAACTTCGAGACGTATTTAATATTTTTTACATGAAGTTCCAGTGAGCTCAGCAACATATATCATCCCTTGAAATCAGTAGGGGCCTACATTAGGCTCATTCCCTTTTGTGTTGTGATATGTTCATGCATATTCCACACAAATTTAGTTCAGTGTTGTTTGGCTGTGTCTGTATGAAAAGCTATTTGTAGAATATATTTGAGTGGAAGGTTCACCAGCGGGACTAGTACAACTGGCCAACCTTCTTCCTTGGCACTGTAGGCATGGAACTCTCATGGTCTGCACATTTGGGGACCCAATAATATTCGTTAATCTCTCTCTCTCTCTCTCTCTCTCTCTCTCTCTCCTCTCTCTCTTTCTCTCTCTCTCTCTCTCTCTCACACACACACACACACATATTCTTATAATGTTTATATTTAACTGTTGTATGCATTAGTTGTCTTTCTATGAAAAATGAAAAAGTGTAGCCAAAACCAATGACATCTGAAAATAAAATAGCAATCTAAAACCATGTAAAGATCAAATGAATGCCTACCAAAACAGCAGACAGTAAAACATAATTAAATTCAATGCAGGTTACAAGGAGGAACAGCTGAAAAAGCAAATTCCTTAAGTTAAATACCCTTTCCATTGCTAACAAGGTATATGCTTATAATTAGAGGGGCCTCTGTTGTTTGGGATTTCTCAAAATGTTATGCAGACATAAGAAAAAAATATTTCTTGATTTATAGCCAAAGGTACTGAGATGCTGTGACAGAGGGAAAAGTGCCTGGATGATTTCAATATTTGAGCATGTTCATAGGGATGTCTGCCTTCATCAGGCAGTGGGATACAAAAGGAAAAACCATGTTTAATATCTTGAAACATTGATTAATGACTTAAACTAGAATACATTCAGAAAGCTATTTGAAGCTATTCAATGCTATCTTGAACCCTCAATATCCTGTCATGTTCTCAGTGCTTAAAATAAGTGGAATGATCATCTGTGTATTAGCAGAAAATATTTAGCTGATGCATTTTTACCCAAATTACTAGCCAATAAAATTAAGCACAGGTAGTCCACAATTACTGATCACTCATTCAGTGACTATTTGAAGCTACGTTAGCACTGAAAAATGAGAGTTACAACAAGGTATGAAGTTGTTGCCATTGCAGTATCCTCCACAGTATGTGGTTATGATTGGATACTAGGCAACTGGCTCACATTTTCTATAGTTGCATGTGATCAATATTTAAGACCTTTACAGACAGCTTCCAACAAGGAAAGTCAATGGGAAAGTCAGCAGGAAGTTACAAGTTGTGGTCACATTTAACAATCACAGCAGCTACTGGCAATTGATGTAAGTTGGCACAATCACATGATTTTTCAGTTTACGATCACATAAATTATGCCAAGAGTTGACCATCCCTGTTGCAATCAGTAAATGAGGACTACCTATATTTGGGGAACAAGAATTAATCATTGATCGATCTGTCTGTCTGTCTGTCTATCATCTATTTAAAATGTGCAGAATTTACCATTCTCGAGACAGAACTTTCTGGAAAACACTGGAAAATCCAGCCATTTGCAGGTGGCCCACTAATTTTCCTAAGAAATATTTCTGGAGTGAGAGATGCCACATCTCTTGCCCCCAAATAATATTTACAGCTAAGAAGATGTCATTATTTTTCTCCTATAATATTTGGGAATATAATTTGGGATGTACTGAACCCGTCCCCTGAATATCATAAATGTTACAAAATAATTTAAGTACATGTTTTTTTAATTGAATGTCTAAAACAGTTATATGCTTCATTTTATTATATAGCAATACATTTCAAAAAGGATAACATAAATGTATCCGATTACAATCATTGTTATTCACTTATAGGTACGCAAGGAGTATGGCAAGTGCTTCAGACATTCATATTGCTGTGGTGGGTTACCCACAGAGAGTCCACACAGTTCAGTAAAAGCATCAACAACACGAACAAGTGCCCGCTATTCCTCTGGCACTCAGGTAACAAACATTTTGACAGTACTTCTAATGACAGCATCTTTTAATTAATCTTAGTTATCAAACAGCCCGTTGAGATATGTTCTGTTTAGATGCACTAATTGTATTTCCATTATAACAGCCCTGTTGACACATCTTGATGCATACATGCACATACACACACACATACACATATATGTATCCCAATTCAAACATTTCTGAAAGCTTGGAAATTGTGGACCTAGTTTTAAATTCTTTAATGATTAATAGGTCCATCCACAGACAGATTTAAATAATTACTCTCTGTTTAGAAAATGACTGAATGCAACTTTATAAAATAAAGTTTTATAAAGGTCAGAAGGCAAATAAGTATGCTCTTTGTAAAGAAAAGTTCCAGAAAATATTTCCTGATAGATTTTTAGATACTTATTTCAAGAACATTTTTGTATGCAAAGTAAAGGTTTTGTTGTAAAACTTCCTGGAAAATCACTTGCATGAACTGCTTCATATTGGATGTTATACATGCACTTTTGAATATTTGCAGTTGCCAAATACAAACAAGAATCTCACTGTTTGAAGTAATGTTTGTTATGTATTTGTGGGATTTGACAACTGATTATGTTTGAAGAAGGTGTTTGGAGTGTGTTTGTGGATTTAATGCATAAGCAAAATGGTAGACAACTTTTTGCATAAGCATAAAGTCAATTTTTCCAGGACCTTTTTATACACCTTTTTAAAAAAAATCTTGGAGGTTGTATTGAAATAAAATCCAATAACTCAGAAGGGCACCAATAACTAGTGATACATTTCTATTTAAACACAATTATTTTCATGGATAAGGCCCTCATGTTTATATTACATTATGTTTTTTCCCAGATTTTTGTGATGTTACATTTTTTCCAGGCAGATGAAAAGATTTGAGGACGGGACTAGGCCACTGCATTTAATCTCTCTGTCTGTATGTGTCTGTGTCTGTGTGTATAGTTGTGTATTTCTATATCCAATCTCTTTTCCTTTTAAAAGTACTGATGAATTATAACTTCCTCATATAAAACATAACTGAAGCTTCACAAACATTTAACTCTTTAACTTTCCTTCATACTAGAGCTCAGCTGCTCTGGAAGTATTGGGAAGTAATCATGACATGGATTAGAGAATCTTTAATAAAACACATAAATTACATTAATATGTCAGACCTCAATTTTTTTATGTTTTTTTATTCTGCCTTTATTATTTTCATACATAACTTAAGGCGGCAAACATACCTAATACTCCCTGCTCCTATACTACCCACAACAACAACCCTGTGAAGTGATTAGTGGAACATGACTGGACCACAACATACTTCTCTTAACGTGACTTGGTCAACCTGGAGAGAAAATAAAATGCCACAAGCTCAACACTGCCTAAAAGGCACTAAAACTACAGGAGCTAATTTGAAGCCAAGCACATAACAACATATCCGATATAGCTACTCGCTCTTTTTCAGTAGCCTGATTTTAATAATATGCATAACTTACTATGCAAAAGAAAATTAACAGCATAGTCTGAAACACATTGACTTGGAAGCGAGTATTATTGTGTTCAAGAAAAGGGCTTACATAAGAGATCACATGAGATGATTGGGGACTAGTAATAAACGAGCAGTAGTAGTCTTCTGGAGCCGTTTGAGATATGACAGTTCCACCTGATTTTCTTTACATTTAACAGAGCCGAATAAGAAGAATGTGGAATGATACTGTGAGAAAGCAATCTGAATCTTCCTTTATCTCAGGTGATATCAATAGCACTTCAACCCTTAATCAAGGTCAGTTTTTTGATAGATTTCACTCTACTTTTTTAATAAATGGTATTTTTTAAATAAAAATGTAAAGGTATTAGATTGCAGTAATTAAACCAAATAAACAGATGTACATTGGGAAAGTTACTGTAGGCTAAAGATCTCAGCATTTAAGTAAAAACAGACACATATGCGGAAAACTGTTTTTAAAAAAAACTGTAACTCAGACTGTTTGCCTTGAATACATTTAAAACTCAGTTCCTTCATCTCCTTACTTAGGATGAAAGTTGACATTCACATTCATGGAAAGCGTATTTAAATAAGTCTCATCAATAATTTAACTTAAAAGCAAGAATATAATTTTAAAACTTTGCTAACCTATATATTCTAAAACTGAAACAGAACTACCACCACTAAAATTTTAAATGCATTAGATTACCATACACAGTTTGCCTGTAAAATCAAATTAGCATCCGCTTGCTATAAAAGGCATCTGAAAATTCATTTTCCTTCCAAGAAAGTTCTGATCATGTTTAGAATGTGGAGCAATCCTCTGCCACATGACAGTCCCAGAGAAGGAAGAAAACCCCTAGCTTGCTTTTTAGATATTGGATTAATCCTTTATGACTTTAACTCAGATTTAATATTTATATGCTTTCACTCCTGTTCACATAGACATACAGTACTAAAGAATACTAAAATCCCATCTGGAAATAGCCAAAATGGGATTTTGTTTTGCTGTAAATTTAAAGCTTTAAAATTCTCTTTCAAAATTGGCAAGATCACTTCCTCCAAATCCAGTGGGATGAGAAGAGGGGCCTTCTTGTCAATTGAACATTCAGAAAAGCACTGGATAACTTTCAGTGCCCAGGTCTAATTCTGCCATGGCAATGATTGGGTGATAATAATTATGCACTTCAATTTTACAAAATAAGCGCATGATTGTGGTCAGCATTACAGGAACATTGCATAGTAAATAGCAATAGCACTTAGACTTATATACTGCTTCACAGTGCTTTACAGCCCTTCCTAAGTAGTTTACAGAGTCAGCATATTGCCCCCAACAAACATGATACTCATACCGACTTCAAAAGGATGGAAAGCTGAGTCAACTTTGAGCTGGTAAGTTGCTGGCAGTTAGCAGAATTAGCCTGCAATTCTGCATTCTGACCATTGCACCACAGTCCTTGTGTGTGTTAATCACTTCATCAGGCAAATAGCATGACTATTTCAACCTAAGTATCTATTCCCAAAGAAATCACAAGCTGGATTGATTTAAAAAGTTGCCATTTGCTTATAGATTCTTTCAGGCCAAAAGAGGATTCTTGTGCGAAAGAGGATCATTCATACTTCGATTCAGCAAGAGTTGGTTTCCATAACAACATTCTCCATACTTGCAAATGTTTCTTCATTGTCTTGAGAGAGATTTGTATACACAAAGCAAATATTTTTAGATAGCTATTCCTTGATGAAGTGATTAAGATTTCTCTTGAGAGAGAAAGAGAAGGAAATGAGGATGTGTGCATCATAACAAAGCAAACTGCATTGTGACATCATTAAATAATTGCATATCAAGGAGTCATGATGCATGTGTCATCATTTTGGCATCCTTGTGCCTTAACTCTAGATGCCTACGTTAATTATTGTAGCTACAAAACACAAACATATGATCATTGCAATGAACATTGTTTGTACATGCTATTATATTTATATTTAAAAATAATAATAAAAGCTGTTTTTGAATTTTTCTAGAATAATGTACAAAATACAATCAGGTTTAATAAGCTACTCAATGTTCACCAATATTGTATACAGTTATAAACCTAACTCCTGGGTTCAAATTTTTGTGAAGTACTGATATATCCTACAAGGGATTTCTAGTTCCTTGCAGCTTCATACTTCATTGTTTGCCCTTGCTGTAATGTCTATATTATCCTTGGTAGGAAATATGACTCTCCCTTCACCAAAACCAATGCTCTGTGTTTTTCTTGTCTAATTGTAATGTGGTGCCAAGCAATTATGTACAAAATGGGAGTGATCGTTCTTTGCAACATTCTGTTTCCCCCCCAGAATTGGTCAATCTGAGCATTCTAAAAGTGGTTTGTATATTTCTGCAAGCATATCTTCCAGAACAGGAAGTAGTTAATGGAGTTCTGGATGTGATCCAGCTCCCAAATGAGCCAAACTGAACATTTTAGGGAAAGTGAAATGTTCCAGTGATGAACTGATCCTTTATGCATAGCTGTAATACCAAGCAACTCAACATGTATAAATTTTAGGAATTAACCACTGTTTTTTGGGCAGAATTAAGACACTGCAATATTTTCTTTTCTCTGATCTCAACCCAATCATTGTCTAAGGCTCCCTTCCGTTCTCTACAAAGGATGTTATTTTCAGTTTAGGCTATACATTATTTGTTGGCTTCCCTTCCTTGCCACAAAGGTGAACTGGAAATGGAAGGGGGGAGAAAAATCAGGAACAGGAAACAGAAAAATACTCTATATCAGGGGTGTCAAACTTGTGTCATCATGGCATCGTCATGTGATTTATTGTGACTTTTTCCCCTTTGCTAAACTGGGCATGGGTGTGGCCAGCGCCTGATGCATCCAGCCCATGGGCCGTGAGTTTGACACCCCTGCTCTATATTAAAAGACAAGCTGTATAATAGAATGTGAGGGAGTCAGTGACTCTTATCAGATTAATCTTTCTCCTTGGAAAGAAACTTCGTAAAGTAAAATGATTTATTGCCAACTGAATGTATTACAGGTAGTCCTCGATTTATGACCAATTGAACCTGGAATTACAGTCATAAACCATTGAGGTAGTTAAGCAGGTTAAGCATGGACCAATTTTACCTGTTTCATTTATTTATTTATTCAATTTCTATTTTCGAAGCAATCATTAAGCAATTGCACTGGTCATTAAGTAATGCCATTCCTGTGACCATAGGGGGAGTGTTGTATCTACAGTAACTTTGAAATCAGGTCTTAGTAGCTTTTGGCAGGTCCATTATAAGTTTGAACAATTGTTAAGCTTACTCGAAGTTGAGGACTACCTGTAACGCTTCTTTTCTATAAAAGGAAAAAAAAAACTAATTAGATGTACTAATTTGCAGTTCATAGTCATGATTCACCCACAACCTATGATGTTTTTACACTAACCCAACCATTTCACTCATAAACCATGGTTTGATACACTAGGTTAATTCAGATTTATTCAGCTCACCATGGTTAAACCAAGCTATGGTTTAATATGCAAGTTCAATAGTAATTTGGCTTCAATTGGTTTTATATTTCTGATGCTACCTGGTTGCTTGGGCACAGTTTCAGAGATAATGCAAAATCTGAAGTCTGCCTTATCCTCTGAGAACATCCCAATGAAATGGACCCCATAACATTAAGAAGAATAAGGGCCAGATTTTTAGTTTACAATGAAAACAGAGTCATACTCAGACAGGGTATTAATGGTTCAACTGTATCTGGTGAGTATACTGGAAACAGTATGTCTAAGCTGGTAGCAAAGAACTACGGCCAATTATGTAATTCAACTGGAACCATACTGCATAGTTCTTATAATAGCAATTTTATGATATGTAGTATAGTGACAAAAGGATTTGGATTGCCTTTGTTAATATTTGGAGTAAGCCTCAAGCAGTGGAGGGGGAAAATCAAATAAATTAAATCAAATTGCAAATAAGATTAACGTAAGCTGACAGTACAGCAATTCCCCAAACTCCAGGATTTCTGCTACCTAGAGTAATAATATTTTTAGTAGTGATAAGAGCATTAATATTTAAAATGTAATATCTTCTGCTATTGCCACAATGAGAACCTAATCAATTTAAATTTTGTATATGCATTTTTGGGCTGCTCTGTGTCTCATCTTGGGTCTGTCATACAACACCAGTCTCCCCCACACCCACCCCATGTACTTTCAAACTGCTCAGTCAAAAGGCGCTTTCAACCTAATTTTATTTGCATGTCCACAAAGCAGTGGAGTCTTTGTATCTGTTCTGACAACAATATTAATGTAACAGATCCAAAATCAGTGTGAATGTTTCACATGCTGAGTTCTTACCGAGTAATGCTATGTGTGGCTGCTTCATTAGAAGCTTACTGAAAAGTGTTGATGCATTAGGACTGAAATTGCAGGAAGAGCTTTTTGTATGAGCTTTCATTGTGTTGATTGAAGATTCTTTTTTACAGAGAGAGCAGAGATAACTTAAAGATAATTGACTTTACAAATCCTCACCAATAGTTCAGCATGAAGCCCATTTGACATGTAAAATATATGAATGATTTACCTTTGACCTCTCCTTTAGCATGTATTCCTTGCATAGAACGGAATAGGTGTCTTGCAGCTTGCCATTGCTTACCTTAACTTTGTTTTAAACTATGCTAGTGATAAACCTTGGCTGTTGCTAGGGGAGAATTGCCTATTGCTCTCAATTAACACATTTTTGATCTATCTAGTCTGGTGCCTATCCATAGTTAAAGTTACAGGCATGAAGTTGTAACTTCTTGAAATAGAACATTGGTCTCTGTATTTAATTGCTATCCATGTGTTAACAGCAATTTTGTATAAATTAGCAAATGTCATTTCTCAGCAGGTGTTTACTTTGGGGATTTGGCCAGCACCTGTGAATTACCAAAACCTAACTATATTTTCATTCTCTCCCTTCAAATTAATAGTTCAAATACAGTCAGAAATGTTCAGCTGAATAAAAATTTGATGGGATATACATGACATGTGATGATTTTTTTTTTTAAAAAAAATACACATTATTGGAACTGTCAGCCTGAAATGAAAGAGCTGATGTCTCTCTTTCTGTTTCCTTTGCTTTAGGAGTGACTGGCAATTACCTACTAACAAACCCTCTTCTTCGACCGCACGGCACTAACAATCCTTATAACACATTACTCGCTGAAACCGTTGTATGTAATGCCCCTTCAGCTCCTGTGTTTAACTCACCAGGTGTGCCCACACTTTGGGATATGTTGATTTTGCATTTTTTTTAAAGTATGCTTTGCTCCAAGCCTTTTCTTTTAACATGGTTGGAGCTACAGTTTCCTTTAGAATTATTCTCCTACCAATGCTACTGATAATGCCAGGCTTGTAAAACTGCACTATATTATAGTGTTAATACAACTTTGCCATAGTAGTATTTGCCAATAATCCTCCATGTTTTTAACACAGGTGGCATAAATCTTAATATACTATTGCAGGACTGACACCCCATGCTCCGAGAGCCCATCTTCAAGATATATATCACTTAGAGGTATCACATCTATGAAATATAAATTGAATCAAAAGCTTGCTGAGAACATCTGCTTATGGAGTTGATTAGACCATTAAACTCACACAAAGGCATCCTGACATGTGCACTGTCATGCTGTGGAAAACTGCATCCGGAGTCACATTTAGAGGCCAACTATAGTATAGTGCAGCTTTATAGGAGCACTTTGATTTGCTGTGTTGTGTTTTGCTTTGTTTCCTTAAGAAAGTCATCAGATGGTGGCTAGTCTTAGAAAAGCAGAATTGGGAGGAATATACAGCCTGATTGCTGGATCTAATCTCAGATGCTTGGGACAGGGTGTGTCTTCTGTCTTCTGAGCATTTGTCACCTAAATTGACATTGCTCTGATCAGTCGTAGGGATGTTAATTCCCTATAAAAGCCAAAGGTATCAGGATTTCAGAGTGTTGTACCTTTGTTGTACTGTACCAGCCAATAAGTTGTTTTTTAAAGTAATGAATCCTTTAAAAATAAAATAATGCACCTTTATTAATTATTAGTTTCATAAGTAGTTTTTAATGTAAATTGAAATCCTGTCTTAAACATTTTATAACATGCTTTTTTTAAAAAAAAAAACTAAACGTATAAACCTGTTATGTCAATTTTCCTTATTTTTAAAGTAAACTGCAGTTTCTGTGTTCATTCTCCTGTTTTCTTACTTTCCTTATGCTCTCCTCTAGCAACCTACAGAGAGACAAGTATGGGAGTAAAACTTAACTTTGCCTATCAAATGTAAATTTTTTCAGCATGATTTTTAATGGGCACAATTAAAACATAACTAGCGGTCATGAAGTAGACTCAGCGGGCAAGTGGTTCACAATTTCCAAATTAATTATTTCCACACTCAACAGTACATGGGTACTGCTTTTTTGGAAGAACCCAAAAAAGTCACTAGGTCTGTAGCAAGCCCTATTGATAACTGATGATATCCAATGCTGAAATAATTTGCTGCTTAAAACCAGAGCACCGTTGAGCAAAATGCTTAATAATTGACTTTTTTTTTTTTTTTTACATTCCCACAGTAATCTTGCTACAGGCTAGGAAAGACTTCAAGTGAATTACCTGATCATGGGCATCTAAAGTTACCTCTCTAAAACTGGCTTAAGTGCATTGGAGTGTGCTTAACTCTGCAGTATATCACAGAAAATTCTTTAAGGATTATTAAATATGCTTCAATATTTATTTAATAGAGTATGAAGAATTGGATTATTAAGAGAGAGAGAGAGAGAGAGAATGCCTTTATGGAGGAAATTAATATGGCATGTGGCCCATCATTGGATCTCTCTTATGAATGCCACATGTTCCATATGGATAAAGCTTTTGCAAAAAATAATAATAATCCCAAAACGTATATGAAATTATCCCACCTACCAAACTTGTTTAATCAAAGCCTACAGCTTTTCAAAGACTTGTAACCTTTTATTCTAATTCAGCACACATGAATGGCAAAACAATGTAATGTAAGATTAGCTGCAGCTTTTTATTTCTCAATTAGTATTCCATAACTAAAGGGAGAGAAAAATCTCTGAAGCATCAACCCAGTGTTTCTATCTGTTATAGAAGCAACTTCGAATTTTCTTTGGTTAAGCTGCAGCTTTAAGTACTGGCTGAAAATAAAAACCTGGAAACATTTTTAGATGCACACACAGCCTTTTTTTATTTCTCTGTAACTACTCCAAGCCTTGCATATAATGCAGCAGCTTCACAGTGGTCAGTTTCATTCAGACAACAGTACTTCATTCTTCCTTAAGAGTTTCAGACACTGCTCTAGAACAATAAAAGCAATTCTTCCAACAGCTCACTAGCAAATCATCTAACTTTCCATGATCCATGCCATTCAGTTTCTTTAAGAACTTTCTTTTATCTCCTTTGTTTGGGAAGCACTGTGATGTCTTAGTTTACATGTCTATGTGTCTCTAGAAAAAATGAATTTATTTATTTACCTCAGAAAAAGAACATTTCACCATAAAATTCCTATATCACTTTTTTCCCTCTGTCTCTCTTCCTAAACTTTGTGTCATCTTTCCAGCAGATGTATCCAATTTCTCCATTTCTTCAGCAGTTAAAAGTTTTGATTTTGACTGATAATCTCCCATTCCACAGCTAATATTTCTTCTTTGGTTAATTTTTTGTGACCCATGCTTAGAGAAATCCCTAACATTTCTGCTTTTGATTTCCATATGCCCATGGTGTCTGTGGGCTTAACTCTGAATAGACTGACACTGGTTCATACGGTTCTGTCACTGTGACTGATGCAAACTGCAGGGCTGCAGGTAAATTTTGACATTCTGAAGCCTGGGGCTGTTCCTGGCAGAGAGAATATGAAATGCAACCCTTTCCCCTCCCCCCCAAAAAAAGCACATTAAAGTGGGGAAAAAGCTGTTATTGCAAGTAATCTAATTTGCTGAACCCTTGCTCTGACTAAGTTGCTGAGACGCTCAGTAATTCTTCATCTTGTTACAATAAATCATTTTACTTTCTTTTATATATCAGCTACTCTTAGGCCAGATAGCCTGAGCAGACAGACATGATGTGAGTTGTCCAAAGTGAGTCATTCCACCTGCTGTCTTTCCTGTGTTGGATGGTGCTTGTGGGCCTCAGTCCCTTTCAGTGTGAAAGATGGCTGTCTGTGCTTAACATAGAGTCTCTGTATTTGTCCATTTTTTGGTCATTCTTTTGTTTGTTCCATCTTCAGCTAAAGAAACACACAGACACAAGGAAATGTTAGAAATATTATATTAAAGTAGTTGCTTGCTAAATATGTGAATTTACTGTTATGCATTTACCTTCTGTTTTGTATGTGACCTGATTCCCCTTCCTTCCTTCTCTCTTTCCTTCCTTCCTTCCTTCCTTCTCCCTTCTCTCCCTCCCTCCCTCCTTCCCTCCTTCCCTTTTATTTATTTTTAATTTAGTGTTGTTTAGGACAAATTCTGTGGCTTTTATTTTTCCCGTTGTACTTACGCATTAAATGTTTATGAATGAATTGCTTTGCATTCATATGCAAGGACATGGAGTCACTTTCCTCTTCCTTGCAGGAAGAATTGTAGAATTGAATCCTAAATTGGAACCTGTTAACATTTGTTTTAAAATTTCTGATTGAAAATATCACTGAAGCTCCAAGGAAAAACAGTGTTACCTTGTAAAATTCTCTCTCTCTTCTATATGGTGTGTAGTTCTTTTACACTTGGGAGATATGTCCCAAGTCTCACTTTCAAGTACAACTTTGTCCTGAACGACATTAAAGATTTTCTTAGAATAAGAATTTTAGTGCCAGGGTAAGTAGTAACCCATGGGTGTCCCTTCTCTGTTGCAGGACATTCACTGAACAATGCCAGGGATACAAGTGCCATGGATACTCTACCGCTAAATGGTAATTTCAACAACAGCTACTCTTTGCGCAACGGAGACTATAATGACAGTGTGCAAGTTGTAGACTGTGGACTAAGCCTGAATGATGCCGCATTTGAAAAAATGATCATTTCAGAATTGGTGCACAACAACCTGCGAGGCAGCCACAAGAACCATAACCTGGAGCGCACATTACCAATCAAAGCTGTGATCGGTGGGAGCAGTAGTGAAGACGATGCCATTGTTGCTGATGCTTCATCTTTAATGCACAGTGATAATACGGGCCTGGAGCTGCACCAAAAGGAACTTGAGGCCCCACTGATTCCTCAAAGGACTCACTCTCTTCTGTACCAACCACAGAAGAAAGTGAAGATGGAAGGAACCGATAGTTACGTGTCACAGTTGACAGCTGAAGTGGAAGACCACCTCCAATCGCCCAACAGAGACTCGCTTTATACAAGTATGCCCAACCTCAGAGACTCTCCGTACCTTGAGAGCAGTCCTGATATCGAGGAAGATCTCTCTCCCTCCCGGAGAAGCGAAAATGAGGACATTTACTACAAAAGTATGCCAAACCTTGGAGCTGGCCATCCGCTTCAGATGTACTATCAAATCAGCAGAGGGAACAGTGATGGCTATATCATTCCCATTAACAAGGAAGGATGTATTCCTGAAGGGGACGTTAGGGAAGGACAAATGCAGCTAGTGACAAGCCTTTAATAGCATAGCAAAGGAATCCTGAAGGCCACATGCAAGTATTAAACAGACAGACACTTAATTGGCTCCATGCAGACCCCCTCATATCTGCTTGAAGTGACTATTCTCTTGTCCCTGTGGTTTCTCCCATGTAAAGGAGTTGACTGGACCTTTCAGTTCTGTGAATTTTTATAAAACAAAAAAAAAGCTTTGTATATACACAGAGTATACTAAAAGAATTATTTGTTACAAAGAGAAAAGAGAGAGAGAGAGAGATACCATCAAGGTATTTTAAGATATCTTGCTGCTGACATTTTAAAAAAAAGATTGTGAAATAAACACACACACATACATACATGCAAAGTGTTCCAGCCATTTTACAGCAGCAGTTTGGGAACTAAATTTGTAAATATGGCTGCATCATTTTTGTATGCCTGCATTGTATTATATACAAGAGGTAGGCACCAAAATCCTGTGGGACAAATTTATTGTACCTTACTATTCCTGACTAGACTTGCAAAAGCAGGAGAGAGATTCTGCACCAGTATGCTGTTCATGGCAAATCTTTCCCACTAAGGCAAGGGTTGAAAACATGTCTAACCACTAGCAATCAAGCCACAGGCCTTATTTCATATATTTCTTCAACTGTACAATGTTCTCATGAAAAAAATGGCTAAAGAAATTATATTTTGTTCTATTGCTAGGGTAAAATAAATAAATACCTTTGTGTCCAAACAGAAATATAATTGTCATTAAAATAATTTTAAAGGATTTGAAGAAAATATTGTGAAACGCTCTTGGTTGCACATATGCTACAAGCTGTTTCTTCTTACACTTGGTTCCGTAGTACCGTAATATGTTTAAAATGCAAACTCTACCCATTTTCTACTTCTTTTTCACTGTAAACAGTGGTCTGCTTTGACATGACTATTCTTATGGCTTAAACTTGATACTGCCAAACGAACATATTTTATGGGAAGAATTCTCTTAGATGCCAATTTATGCCAGGCCTTGCACACATTTGATTAAAAAAAAGAACAATCACTCACTAGCTAAAGATTCATTTCCCTTTTGTTCTTTTCTTTGGAGAAGGAGGAGGGAAGGTGGACTAGTGAATGGAAGGTGCCTGCCCCTTTTAAGCTAAGAGAAAACATAAATATTACTCTTCCATATTCCTTCTGCCTATATTTAGTAATTAATTTATTTTATGATAAAAGAGCTAATTAAATGTACATTGTTTCAGGTTTTTCTTTTTTTGCTCTTTTCCCCCAAATCCCTTTGTGTAAACCTGTTAATAATGAGCCCATCACTAATATCCAATGTAAAGTTTAACACCTGTTTGACAGTAAATAAATGTGAATTTTTTTTCCAAATAGGTAAAAATGCGCTTTCTTGCATTATGGGTTTAATAAGCTCGATTATTGATTCTGTGAGCTGCTGAAATTCTGCTTTAGGATCATTCCTTTTACAGTTTTCAGACTATGTGAAGAAGACTGAAGAAAGGGTCAGTTCTGTGCCACAACTTTATTTCCACATGTCATCAAGATGAAAAGCAGGAAATTGGGTTAAAAAGTTAGCAACTTAACTTTCCCTTTTATATGAGATTGTTTTTTTAAAAAAATCATTCAATCTTATTGATTAAGAGAAAAATTTGAAAACTCTACAGTCATGTTTCAAGCAACTGAAATGCTAAATCTCCAATTCGTGATAAAGATAATCTCTTGCTCCCAAGAACAAAAATAAAATACATTACTTCGTTTATTAAAATGCCATGAATATTCAAGCCCTTGCAAAAATGGTAAAACTCCAGCATTTTTGTGATATGCAAATTAACATGACTCTTATTTCTACTATTAACAAAAAGGGAATCAAGGCAGGAAGTTGGTACAATGCCCAGAGCTTTATAGTGTGTCAACAGCAAAGGGTTTAAATTTCACTAAACTTATTTGTTTATTCCGCAACATTAAATTGTGTATACAGCGCTCCAAATTCCAATTTTCATTCTCAGTAACTCAGATTTAAGTAATGTGCTGATTTTTCATTCTTATTGCTAATTTGTTGGATCTTTTCCTCCTGTTTGTGAGCTTGTGTTGTGTGTATTGTGGCCCTATTAGACAAAACCAACATTAAACTGGCAGTCCCTGCCAAGATTTTCATTAATAATTAAGGCCACTGGGTACAATCTGCAGTGAAAGTTCTGCAGAAGCACCACTAAATTGATTGAAAGTTGCCTAGCCAAACTTTGTAGTAGCCTTTACACGATGATGGATGAAATTTAATTTAAAGGAAGCTTTTGATGCAGCTATGTGTGATGTAGAACTACAAAATGTACACCAAGATTAGCTGTGATATACATGTTACTTCAGCATGATTTTCTCAGGTGGTTTTATCACCCTCCTGATTCACAATGGTGTATACATTCTAGTGTACTGCACTAGCCTGGAGAGCAGGTGCAAGCTCTTCCCCACTGCTGAGCAGTGTTTGCATAGACCAGCTGCTACCAGTAAGTGATAAGAGGGCAGGGAGTGTGTGATGCATTAGACTATCTTCTGTTAGTGTTCCTACTTGTACTTTCTGTTTCTTATATGTTGGGTTCCCCTTGCTTAGCTCTTGTCTTCCTGCCACTGTCTTTTGCTTCTTCCCACATCTGCTCTTGATTTCCATTTATATTTTCTTGCAGTCTACTGTCATGTGAATTCTTCTCTGCTTCTTCAGGACCTTATGCATACTGCTCCTGTTAAAGGTCTTTCTGGCACTGCATCTATAGTTAGTGCTGTATTTTGATAAAAAAAATTTTGTACCTATGGAACGTGATTGGAAGTACGTATTTATTTGGGGTGACCACAGACGTTTTGTATATGAGCTTGTAAACTGTCCAGAATAAATTCTCAAAAACCAGTTGGAAAATTCACTGAGCTCTTCAAAAGAAGAGCAATAAATCAAAGGGAATTCTAAGCAAGTACATTGGGTTTCTGAGATTATACTAGAAAATAGTTCCCTTACTGAAACCATTTGATGAATGAATTAACAAGTAGGAGTTATAAGCTGTAGTTTAAGTGGACTCTTTTATACATTTCATTTGTTTTACTTCTATTGAACTCAATGGTTCTATTCTGGGATATGATTAAAGTCTTGAGTCTAACTTTATATTGATGAGAAAAGAAAATCTGAGAATGACACATACTCATTCTTCACTCATTCTTATGAAATATGTAGAGAAATGACCAATATGCACTAATAAGTCTTCATAGAAGTTAAGTTTGTATTTTCAATGTGGCACTTACTGGCTACTCTAGACATCAGTTCTCATCATCCTCAGTCATCCACTTTTCATTGCTGTAGTCTACTAAAGTTAGAAGGTTCAAGGCAGGAAAAAACTTGATTCAATAAATTTTTAAAAAATGGAAAAGGTTAATGGAAACTGGTAACACCAAAAGGAATTTGTAAGTACATGAAATTAATGCAAGATTTTAACTTATTATTCCCTTATTAATGTTCTATTATACATGAATGGTTTATAATACTCTGTAGCTATTTCTTGTCTTCCTTATTGTGAAGGAATGCAAATTAGCATCTTTCAGAGTTTTAAGACTTTTATTTGCTTTTTGTGTGGGGAAATTAATTATTCTTTCTGCTACAGACCTGGTATAAGGTATGGAGTCACAGGTGAGATGGGTGGTGTAGAAATTTAATAAATAAAAATAAATAAATTAGAAAGTGGAATAAATATATTTGCTGCCATTTTCAGCAGTCTTTTATTTACCCATGTCAATGTTTCTCCGACCTTACTAGCTTTAAAATGTGTGGACTTCAAGTCTTAGAATTCTATTAAGGTTGAGAAACTAATACTATCGATGTATTAAAAGCCCATTTAATAGGGTTGCTCAGCACTTTGGATTGGGTTAGATTTAGAGCACATGAGGTTTGCATAATTTGCCCCTGAGTGCAATTCTTTAAACTGTGGAATGCTTCCCTGTTGTACCTCAGGATGCAGTAGCTTTAAAAAGCTGCAGAGATGTTCTATGTGGGAAACTTACATGCTCCAACAAAACTTTTTGACTGTTACTGAATCTGAAGTCTTGCTCAGTCTTAATGGCTATACCATTTCTCTTAGTGCTTTTCAAGAATCAAAAAATGCTTCCAGAAACTAACATCCAAGATAAACAAAGGGAAGAGAAATCCCACAAATATCAAGAGTTAGTGGCCCAGAGCTGCCAACTTAAGGAAGTCGTGTTTTTTTTGTTTGTTTTTTTTTAAAAAGCACAATGAGAACATTAGCATCAGGATCTTTACAAGAACTTCTGTGCTGGCAGGCACCGACAAGAATGAAGTAGTGGTATAAAGGAGTGGTATAAAGCAAAGCTTGGTTTTAACTTTTAAACGCTAGAGTTTTGCTCCTTCAAATCAAACATTTACTTGTCTGAAATTTTATCTAAAGGTTCAAACAAAGAGGTTTCTTTACTAATTGCAAATGTCTTTAACACCCTGAAGTGATAAATGAAGGAGTTAGATGGGAGAAGAGCTTAGGTTTGTCCATCCTGCCTATTTTCTTTACTGTTCATACTACTGTAGCCGGGTTGTCATCGGCAGAAATTGCAAGACAAAGAGAGCCTGTTCAGTGCAGGCCAGTCTTGAATCTTAAAACTGGACATGTCCAGTCAACCCCGAAGGACACTGCCTCTTTCTCAATCTACAAAAGTTAAAATGAGCTATTTTTCTTAGGCTGTCAGGCATCATGTATAGTAACTAGTGTTCACAGATCTTAACTGTGTGTGTGTGTGTGTGTGTGTGTGTAAAAGAGAGGGAAGGGATGATGATGCTCATTTCATTAATGCATACAAAACTTACTACAGTATCTTTTGAGTAACCCAGCAAAATATAAAACATATTGTCGTATATCAGGACAGAATTATTTTGCCATCCTGAAGGATCTGGTTGAGCATCTTCATAAACTGAAGATACAGAACAGGGTTCATCACCCTTATCATAATTTGTTAAACCTGTGTGTCACCTGACTCAATGATTTTGGACAGCTCAACACATTGCAATAAAATCTATAAAAGATGGCAAGCATCACAGACCAGATGGAATGAACCAAAGGGTCTCAGGTCTCCTTTCCCAAAGACTTCATGACTCATGAATGACAACACAATGGTGGCACCCAGATTTGTTTTTATATATTATTATCTCATTTTTTTTACTACTACTACTACTATTACTACTACTACTACTCAGGACAGTGAACATGCCTAATATTCTTTCCTCCTATTTTCAGAACGACACCGTGAGGTCAGTTAAGGCCGAGGGAGAGTGAGTGGCCCAAAGTCACCCAGCTTACTTTCAGGCCTAAAGCAGGTTTGGACTCATAGTGTCCTGGTTTCTAGCCTGATGGCTTAACACCTAGACCACACTGTCTCCCTTTTTAACCTTCTAAATGTAGGTAAAATGTATCTAAATGTAAAGGTAGCGGAAGCTACTCTGTTGTGTGAACATTTTGTTTCTTGGCATTTAAATTTATCTATAGGGCTAGAGAGAGCACTGTATAAACAGTCGGGATTTCTCCAAAGCGCTTGTCCTTCCTAAGTATTATATAAGCCATATGCCAGGAGGTATGGCTAAGCTGTAGTGAACCAACTGAGTGGGATGGGGTGGCTTTGTTTCCTGGAAGTTAATCTTTTAATGGGGTTGCTTACCAAGTAACTCTTGGGCTCTTAAGATTGTGTTTGGCATGCCATGCAAGATGGCTGGCAATTTATTTGAAAGAGGCTGCTTCTGCTATTTCTGGAATGTGCCACACTCTGTGTTAAAGACAGACGTTAACAGCTTTTGAAGGAATCCTTCCGAGGAATCTTTCGGAGTCATTCATCAGACAGTTTCAGCTGCGAGTTTTCTTAATAGAATTGAACTCTCGCATTCCCCACCTGCACAGTTGAGGTAACTTTTATTTCCATTGTGACTTTCTATCCTCACTTGGCAGAAGATTCCTCCAGTCTTAACTCAGAGACAATATTGAGAGAGCAGCTGTCAAGGGAAATGAAAGCTCCTCTCTGGCCCTCCTTTTCCAAGTCTGCAATGGACAAAATACAAATTAACCAACCCAAATCATACTGAGGACGACAATCATACTGAGGATGACAATACACATTTCTTTGATGATGTTTTG